CTCCTGTCAGTCGAGCTGCATCATAGCAGCTTCTTGCTGCTTGGTTGCCTAGGGCAATAGGGGATTCGAAATTTGCACAAAAGTGCTTTGGAGGTGATTAAAAGTTGAATAATCAAATAATGCAGAAGCTGAGTTAATTTGTATCCACTGGCGGATTAGACGGGAGTGCTCTCTTTAACAAAGTAAAGAAGAATCATCAGTCAAATTGGGTTCATCAAAACTTCTGCTCCTTCATTCAAGATCCATGATTCAAAAAATATCTTGCCAGAAAAGAAGTTAGATACACTTAAAATTGATCATTCTGAAGGAAGGAGATAAGAGATTTGCTAAAGATTATGTAAAAAGCTTTAGGCGCCTCAAACCTACCTTGGGGTACCAACAGAATCGGTGTCGAACCGATTGGTAGCTCTTGAATAAGATCCTAAATCGGCCTCTTTTGGTACCACTATTAACGAACCCCGCTGAATGCGTGCAGAATCCCTGGCTGTAAAATTAAAAAATGGGCATCCCAAGACGTATCCACGTCGTGAGTGGATTTCGATCCCATCATTAGACCTTGACTAAGAACTCAATTTACCGTGGCCTGTTTTAGGTCACGTTTAGCACGGATGACTGAATTGCTTTCAATATTAGACAGATTTCACCCACGACCCAATTCATAATCCCGTTTGGAGGGCATTTTGGAAGGCCTAAATTATATTGAAGTTCTTTTGCTGAAAATTGGTTTCGAAGCAAACCTTACTTGGATACGTTGTCAGGACGATAAACTCGTGTGGCGTACAAGGCCTCAGTTTGCATTCGCTGCGATGAAGGGACGAGTGTTGTGCTTAAAATAACTCTCAACACAAATGTTATCACAACCGATACGAGGTGATCACTTTTATTAATCATAATCTTCTGATTACAAAGACACATTTTTGAACGCTTTACATGTGTGATCTCTGCCGGCTAGCCTCATACTGGGATCATGCAAGTCATGGGCTAAAATGAAAATACTTTTATTTTTTTCGTTTCGAGTAGGTTTTTGAGACTGACAGTAAATAAGCTATACAAAATGTGTTCACCCTATTTTGTTTAAGGTGATAAATGACTGGTAGTTGAATTTTACCACAATCATATGAGTAGACCCTACGTTTCCACTGAATTTCGCATAGCCTTGCTTCCCCAAAGAAATATTGTGATGAGAATATCTTATGGGAAAGCAAGGCTATGTGAAATTCGATAGAAACGTAAGGTCAACTCATATTCCCAATACTTCTAGCCGTTGGTCCTGCAAATAAAGGTTCATCCATTCTAAGGGAGGGCAGGTCGAAGTAAAATTGTGTCCTTTTATACTCACTCACGTGCCTTAACAGATAAAAAACACATGCTTTTGACCGAGTACCGACTACTATTACCTTTGCCCATTAGCGCACCACTAAATGGCGCGAGAAGAATGAAGCTAAATAAATAGGGCACACAACAAGGTGCTTTGAAGCCTCATCTAACTGGGATTGAGGTTGTTCAGTGTCTAAGGTATTCCATTTCACTTCAATCCTATGGCTTATCTTCCACATGAACATTTTTCGAGCTTATCCACAATTTATAATTCATAATTTGGCTAACCCTGGGTCACTGAAGCTGATTTAATGAGGGATGCTTGAATTGTGACATTTCGGTTCAATGTTGGAAAACTCGACTCTCAACCTTAACATCACCTTTAACGACCCAGTAGGACTAAAGTCATTTATTAGAATTCCTAATAATATGAAAAAATACTCGGTTCAAAAAGAGATTTGGAAATTGAAGTGAAGCGAGACACAGAATAATCCAAATCCCAGCTAGTTGAGGCCTCAAAAAACCTCGTTGGTAAGCCCACTATTTATTTTGCCTCCATCTTGCGCCATTTAACGGTCTTAAGATGATCAAAGGCAGTATTAATTGGCCCTAGATGAAAGGTATGTGCTGTTTATCTGTTATGGCACATGAAAATTACCAGATGCAAATATTCTGCCTTGATTTCCGTGACATCAGAAAACATGAGTCTTTCTTTGCGAGGGAATCGGATACGACTATTCCATTCATCCTGTCTGAGTGTTAAAATGTCATTTTAAAGCTTATACCAACCATTCCATAATGGCTTTCTCTATAATCCTGTGTTATAATGGGAGTACAGCCGAAACACTTTTGTCGGGTTTATATGAAGTTGGCCGGTCTGAGGAGCTTGCATCGTTGATAATCAAATTTTCCACTGAAATAGTCTACACCAGCGCCATAGTGGCCAGTCTTTATAAACAAAATATTAACAAGTAAATAGGCGAATGCGAAGAAAAATGAGGTTTCGAGGGATCTCTTGGTTCATACTACTTGAGCTTACTAATATCTCGAGTGCAGGTGTTTGGTGATAAGATTCGAAGATTGATACCACCACAGGACGATGGTGAAGTCCTCTCGACCAGCCGTCCATTGGCCTGACTGGAACATTCTTGTTGAAGCTGTTCTCGAAGCAATCTCCTTAGATTCTGGCTAAAATGGGCTAAACTTGTGTGAATACATCTGCCTCTGTATGTTTTTATGTGTTCGTATATGTATGAAACCTGCAGCATTTCTTGTGTTAGTTCTACTCCTAGTCACATTTTTGCACTTTTTAGTCGACTCTTTTCTCTCACACACAGACAAAAAGCTCATCAGCACAACCAAATGTGTGTCTGACTTTGAGCAATCGAAGTGATGGTTAAAATAAAAAGATAAAAGAGGTAGTTGTTTTCATCAAACCCTGATGCTAAAGGAAAGACGTTACTTCCCTGCTGATTCCGTACATATACGAACACATGAAGGCACATAAGTACACATAGACAAGCACATATACGTGCATCGATGTATGCGTAAACACATGTGTTGATATATGACTTGAATTGACCAAATCACTTTATACCATCGTCATAGAGCTTAGATACAGGGCATACATCTAAGGAATCGAGGGAGATTGCTTCGAAAACAGTGTAAACAAGAATGTTCCTTAAAACCAATCGACAGCCGGTGGTCGTCTTCTGGGAGGATCTATCTTCGAATCTATTCACCAGATACTTTCACTCGAAATGGAAGTAAGCTCAACAATTAGGAAAATAGAAGCTACTCAAGTGACGGCTGTGCATAGCATATTAATAGTAATTATTGAAGTACGAGATTTTGGCTTTATTATTTTGGCTTCTAGGTAAGTTAATTAATTCTGGGGCCAGAGAAAAAAAGGAGCTTAAATGCTTTTACCAAACAACTAGATAAAACTAGATAAATAAGCAAAGTTCTTGAGTAAACTTTTCGCAGCTGCGCGTTGCTAACTGATACTTGATTTCGTGCCTAGTCTAGGATGATATGATCTATAAATGTTTTTACATTTATACTCCATTAATCAAAATTAGGCATCTGGTTTTCGGCAAAGAGAAATCTGTAAATATTTCTATCTGGTCCATTTAATATTTTTTTAACCATCGAAAAATTTGAAAATTGATAAAGTGGCCAGTACCCGATGAATAGATAGATCAACATAATGATAGACCCGTTTATGTACCTTCAGTAGCGATTTCTACAGTGAATTTTGAATTTCACACTTTCATTCTCCGAAAGCTTCAAAATTATCAAAATCTGGACGCAACTCCAGTCAGAATTATAACTAGTATAATTAGAATATACATTGATATTTGATACTAGAATTGGGTATTAGAATATTCCCTTATAATCAGGATACTTTATCATTCAACCATGGACTAACTGAAGACAGGATTTTCAAGATATATCCTGTCAATATTTGTCCCATTCTGAAGCATAATATTTTCCGCATTTGCTTAACGAGTAGCAGCAGGGTTAGTGAGTAAACGGGGTTGGACGAACGATGCAGCCAAAACAAGTTGGGCAAGTGGAGAGGTAGAGCTCGATTCGTCTACCTTCGACTGTGCGTAAATTTATGCCTCGTCCAGGCTGAGATGGGTAACCAGCAAAAAGGCGGAACAAATAAAAGTTTATTTGGCTCACGATTGGCAGTCGAGTTTGTGACACAGCCAGACCGAATGCTTTTCTCTCCTTTGCTTCATTCTGAGCCAAAGATCAGCGCGTAAATGAGGACAGGCAGAACCGTGCAGTTAAACACACTCTGCAGTAAGGAGTATGCAACATAGATTTTTTGCAAATGGTCTATTTCTGCATAAGCTGGTGGGTGTTCAAACTTCGCAATAAAGTGGTAAAGCTAAATCAATCTTTGTTATTACTGA